GGGTGCAATCAGGGGGAAAATAATGCACGTGGAAACATCATTGTAGCAGATTTAAAGCGGCGTTGCATCCATTTTATTTTTCCTCAATTAGCATCGCCCTTTTGTTGTACTGTTGTATTTGGATATATATATATATATATATATTTTTTTTTTTTAAATTTATTTATTTATTTTTTTAAAAGATCGTAAACACCGTTAAATAGTGGGTAAAGGCAGCGCTTCTGGTCCCTGCCGCCTAGGTAAAGACGTAATAAGGCGATTCGCAAGGTCTCCTGGGATGTCTTCTATCCCAGGAGTCCTTGCGAATCCTAGTTAGGAATGTGGTGCGCCGCGCAGTGTCATTACTGCGCAGGCGCGACATCGGGAGGTGCTTTCCGGGATAGCCAGCAGCACCTGATCCCCGAAATATAGACCTGTGGGCTTCAGATGCCCACATTCTTCATGGCGCCTGCCTGCTTCCTAGATCGAGGTAAAAATATTACTTTTTATCAACTAAAGAGCAGGATATCACATCTACAGTTGTGCTCAAAAGTTTCCCTCCCCTGGCAGAAATGGTGACATTTTGGCATTGATATGGAAAATATGACTGATCATGCCAAAAAATGCTCTTTTATTGAAGGATGATGATCATATGAAGCCAGGGGCGGACTGACAACTCATGGGGCCCCCGGGCAATAGGGGATCATGGGGCCCCTGTGTCCTTGCTCAAACTCAAAAAAGCCTATGAAAAAAGTACCAGGGGCATCTCATGGGGCCCCCTACTGACCCAGTGCCCGAGTTTCCAAATGGTCAGTCCGCCCCTGTGTGAAGCCATTTATTATCAAATAGTTGTTTGGCTCCTTTTAAAATCATAATGATAACAGAAATCACCTAAATGGCCCGGATCAGAAGTCTCCGCCCCCTGGATCAGAAGTATCCACCCCCTGGATCAGAAGTCTCCACCCCCTGTAATGTTCGGCCTTGGTACAGACACACAAGGTGACACACACGGGTTACAATGCCAATTAGAGGTTAATGTCCCACATCTCTGACTTTTTAAATCCCAATTAGTGTCAGTGTATAAATAGTCAATGAGTTTGTTCGCTCTTACATGGAAGCACTGACTAGGCTAGATACTGAGCCATGGGGAGCAGAAAAGAACTGGCAAAAGTCCTGCGTAACAAGGTAATGGAACTTTATAAAGATGGAAAAGGACATAAAAAGATGTCCAAAGCCTTGAATATGCCAATCAGTACTGTTAGATCACCTATTAAGAAGTGGAAAGTTCGGGAATCTCTTGGGTGATTGAGTGATTTCTGTTCTCATTATGATTATCTTCAACCTAGAGGGGGTGCTTTGGGGCAGGGGGGCTCCTCCCCCAAAGCACCTTGTCCCCATGTTGATGGGGACAAGGGCCTCTTCCCCACAATCATGGCCGGTGGTTGTGAGGGTCTGTGGGTAGGGGGGGCTTATCGGAATCTGGAAAACCCCTTTAACAAGGGGGCCTCCAGATCCCGCCCCCCCAATGTGAAAAGAGTATGGGGTACATGTTAACGCTACCCATTCACTAAAAAAAAGTGTAGTGTAAAAAATGACAGGAGACACTCTTTGACAAATCCTTTATTAAAAACAAAAATTAAAAAAATGTCCCCAAGTAGATCCAACATCAACGCGATGCCCGCCGCCACCCCCGACCCGAAAAACGAAAAAAAAAAAAAAAAAGGGCGCTGGCTCCCGGGGTCTGACAGCTGCGCCGCAATGACAGTTCTTAAATACAATGATGATGTCGAAAAGGGGCGGGGTCATCTCTGCCCCCTTGTGACGCCATCATATGCTGTGATTGGCCAAAGCATTGCAGCTGACCTGGGGCATGGCAGGCGAACAGCCCAACGAATGACCTTACCGTTCATGTGTTTGCTGAACACACGAACGGCCAATGTTCGAGTCGAATTACCATCCGTTTTACATCAGTTTTTTATCCATTCTTCGTCCGTTTTTCATTCGTTTTTTTGTCCGTTTACATTTGTTTTCTTGTCTGTTCCGTTTTTATTAATGGAAGAAAAATAGGGTTTTCTTCTGTTCGAAAAAACAGATGTTAACGAAATGCGGACATTAACCCCTTCCCGTCCGGCCCATGTATATAAACGGCTGGACGGGAGCAGTGCAGGGGCGGATGGCCGTTTATAAACGCCCCCCGCTCCTTGCTTGTGCACGTTCCACTCTGGACACAGTGGAACACCAATCGTTGTACGGGACCTCTGTGCGAGGTCCCGATCATGTGATCACTGATTGGCCAATCAGTGATCACATGAAGAGTAGTAAGCAAGATGTCACTTCTGACATCATTGCTTACTACGTGTGAAATCTGTGAATGATCACAGAGATCACATGGTACAGGGCTATTCACACAACAGCCTTGTACCATGTGACAAGCTGTGACCAATCACAGCTCACAAAGTATTTCTCAATGGCTGCAAGAATGCAGTCAGAGAAAATGAGAAATGATTGCTTTTTCAGCCTTTATGGGTGTAAAAGCAATCAGTGTAAAAAAAAAAAACCTTCATCACCCCCCACAAGTAGTACAGTGTCACCATGGTGACACTACTGCTAGGGTGACAGTATGTAAAAAAAAAAAAAAAAACATAAATAATAATATAAAACAATAAAATAAAGATGTAAAAAAAATTTTGATAAATTATAATTTATGGTTATAAACTAATTTGGGTTATTGTTTTTTACTAAAAAGATAACTGACTAAATTTTGGCCAAGATTTATGAAGAAAGATTATTTATTGCAAAATTTTAGAAGAAAAATGCTTTTTTTCAACATTTTTGGACTTTTCATTTTATATAGCAAAAAAAAAAATAAAAATCCCAGCGGTGAATAAATACCACCAAAATAAAGCTTTATCTGTCTCAAAAAAATGCTAAAAAAAAACAAAAAATTACATATGGGTACAGTGCTGCATGACCCGCGCAATTTGTCCATTCAAAGTGTGATAGCGCTGAAAAGCTGAAAATTGGCCTGGACTGGAAGGGGGGGGAAGTATCGGACTGGAAGTGAGGGAAAGTGTCCGAGACTGGAAGGGAGGGAAAGTGTCCGGACAGGAAGGGGGTGAAAGTGTCCGGAGTGGAAGGGGGTGTGAAGTGTCCGGTCTGGAAGGGGGTGAAAGTCGGGGAAGGGTGGGGGGGCAGTCCGGACTGGAGGGGGAAAAAATAAAAAAACTGGAAAGGGGGTGAAAGTGTCCGGTCTGAAAGGGGGGGGAAAGTGTCCGGACTGGAAGGGGGGGAGAAAGTGTCCCCCGGACTGGAAGGGGGGGAAAGTGTCCGGACTGGAAGGGGGGAAAGCGTCCGGACTGGAAGGGGGGAAAAGCGTCCGGACTGGAAGGGGGAAAAGCGTCCGGACTGGAAGGGGGGGAAAGCGTCCGGACTGGAAGGGGGGAAAAGCGTCCGGACTGGAAGAGGGGGAAAAGTGTCCGGACTGGAAGGGGGGTGAAAGTGTCCGGACTGGAAGGGGGGTGAAAGTGTCCGGACTGGAAGGGGGGGGAAAGCGTCCGGACTGGAAGGGGGGGGGGAAAAGCGTCCGGACTGGAAGGGGGTGAGAAAGCGTCCGGACTTGGACTGGGGGGGGAAAGTGTCCGGACTGGAAAAAGGGGGGAAAGTGTCCGGACTGGAAGGAGGGAAGGGGGGAAAAAGTGATTCCGGGACTGGAACGGGGGGGAAAAGTCTGTCCGGACTGGAAGGGGGGAAAGTGTCCGGACTGGAAGGGTTGAAAGTGTCCGGACTGGAAGGGGGGGAAAGTGTCCGGACTAGAAAGGGGGGAAAGTGTCCGGACTGGAAGGGGGGAAAGTGTCCAGAAATTAGAAGGGGGTGAAAGTGTCCGGACTGGAAGGAGGGAAAGTGTCCGGACTGGAAGGAGGGAAAGTGTCCCGGACTGGAAGGGGGTGAAAGTGTCCGGACTGGAAGGGGGGGGGGGGAAGTGTCTGGACTGGAAGGGGGGGGAAAGTGTCCGGAACTGGAAGGGGGGAAAGTCGTCGGACTGGGAAGGGGGGTGAAAGTGTCCGGACTGGAAGGAGGGAAAGTGTCTGGACTGGAAGGGGGTGAAAGTGTCCGGACTGGAAGGGGGGGAAAAAGTGTCCGGACTGGAATGGGGGGAAAGTGTCCGGACTGGAAGGGGGGGAAAAGTGTCCGCGGGAACTGGAAGGGGGGGGAAAAGTGTCCGGACTGGGAAGGGGGGAAAAGTGTCCGGACTGGAAGGGGGGGAAAGTGTCCGGACTGGAAGGGGGGGAAAGTGTCCAGACTGGAAGGGGTTGAAAGTGTCCGGACTGGAAGGGGGGGAAAGTGTCCGGACTGGAGGGGGAAGGAAAGTGTCCGGACTGAAGGGGGGAAAGTGTCCAGATTAGAAGGGGGTGAAAGTGTCTGGACTGGAAGGGGGAAAGTGTCCGGACTGGAAGGAGGGAAAGTGTCCGGACTGGAAGGGGGGGAAAGTGTCTGGACTGGAAGGGGGTGAAAGTGTCCGGACTGGAAGGGGGGGGGGAAGTGTCTGGACTGGAGTGTTCTGGATGGAAGGGGGGGAAAGTGTCCGGACTGGAAGGGGGGGAAAGTGTCCGGACTGGAAGGGGGGTGAAAGTGTCCGGACTGGAAGGAGGGAAAGTGTCTGGACTGGAAGGGGGTGAAAGTGTCCGGACTGGAAGGGGGGGGGAAAGTGTCCGGACTGGAAGGGGGGGAAAGTGTCCGGATGGAAGGGGGGAAAGTGTCCGGACTGGAAAGGGGGGGAAAGTGTCCGGACTGGAAGGGGGGTGAAAGTGTCCGGACTGGAAGGAGGGAAGTGTCCTGGACTGGAAGGGGGGTGTGAAAGTGTCCGGACTGGAAGGGAAGGGTGTCTGGACTGGAAGACGTTGAAGTGTCTGGACTGGGGGGGGGGGAAGGTGTCTGGACTGGAAGGGGGGGGAAAGTGTCCGGACTGGAAAGGGGGGTGAAAGTGTCCGGACTGGAAGGAGGGAAAGTGTCTGGACTGGAAGGGGGGTGAAAGTGTCCGGACTGGAAGGGGGGGAAAGTGTCCGGACTGGAAGGGGGGAAAGTGTCCGGACTGGAAGGGGGGAAAGTGTCTGGACTGGAAGGGGGGGAAAGTGTCTGGACTGGAAGGGGGGGAAAGTGTCTGGGCTGGAAGGGGTGAAAGTGTCCGGACTGGAAGTGGTTACCGGATGTAAACGGATGATTATCTGTTTACATCCGCTAGTGTATAGATATACATGGGGTGTCAGTTTTTCAGATGAAAAACGGACATACGGAACACCCGTGTGAAAGGGGCCTTACTGGCCAGATCACCAGGTGAAAACAAGGGGGAAAAAAGCCTTAAAAAAAAAAGAAAACAAATGCAGCCACCCACCACATCTAATGATTGGTAAATTGCTATATTTTCCATTTTTGGTTTGGGTTTGAAATACTACAAATACAAAGAGATGCTTCTGTTTTTTCTTGCCTTTTTGTCGATGAACTCAGAGCCTTCAACGCCGTAGACAGGCCTGGCACTCAACATGACATAACAAGCTTCTTTTTATCCCTGAAGTTCAGCATCTATGAACTGAGCTTTGCATTCCCTGTGCCCCCCGGCTGTGATCTCTGATTGAAATATCTCTTACGTGTCCCGATCACCTCCAGATACTGCACGGGATGAGGTCATAGGAGATATTTAGATAAGTACCTGCAGGGTGCTGAAAATTACACGGGTGGAGCCGCAACTGGAGACCGACTGCCGACATCTCGAAATAAGACCCCGCCGCGGGGGAGGCCTGCCCATAACACCATCAATCAGTTCAAGTTCAAGGCTTTTTCTTTTCATTACCACCACTACCAGAGGTGTTTCTAAGGCCCTAATAGACCAGAGGTGTTTCTAGGGTCCTAATAGACCAGAGGTGTTTCTAGGGTCCTAATAGACCAGAGGTGTTTCTAAGGTCCTATAAGACCAGAGGTGTTTCCAGGGTCCTAATAGACCAGAGGTGTTTCCAGGGTCCCAATAGACCAGAGGTGTTTCCAGGTTCCTAATAGACCAGAGGTGTTTCCAGGGTCCTAATAGACCAGAGGTGTTTCTAGGGTCCTAATAGACCAGAGGTGTTTCTAAGGTCCTAATAGACCAGAGGTGTTTCTAAGGCCCTAACAGACCGGAGGTGTTTCTAGGGTCCTAATAGACCAGAGGTGTTTCTAAGGTCCTAATAGACCAGAGGTGTTTCTAAGGTCCTAATAGACCAGAGGTGTTTCTAAGGCCCTAACAGACCAGAGGTGTTTCTAGGGTCCTAATAGACCAGAGGTGTTTCTAAGGCCCTAACAGACCAGAGGTGTTTCTAGGGTCCTAATAGACCAGAGGTGTTTCTAGGGTCCTAATAGACCAGAGGTGTTTCTAAGGTCCTAATAGACCAGAGGTGTTTCTAGGGTCCTAATAGACCAGAGGTGTTTCTAGGGTCCTAATAGACCAGAGGTGTTTCTAAGGCCTTAACAGACCAGAGGTGTTTCTAAGGTCCTAACAGGCCAGAGGTGTTTCTAGGGTCCTAACAGACCAGAGGTGTTTCTAAGGTCCTAATAGACCAGAGGTGTTTTCTAGGGACCTAACAGACCAGAGGTGTTTCTAGGGTCCTAATATACCAGAGGTGTTTCTAAGGTCCTAACAGACCAGAGGTGTTTCTAGGTTCCTAATAGACCAGAGGTGTTTCTAGGGTCCTTATAAACCAGAGGTGTTTCTAAGGTCCTAACAGACCAGAGGTGTTTCTAGGGTCCTAATAGACCAGAGGTGTTTCTAGGGTCCTAATAGACCAGAGGTGTTTCTAAGGTCCTAACAGACCAGAGGTGTTTCAAGGTCCTAATAGACCAGAGGTGTTTCTAGGGTCCTAATAGACCAGAGGTGTTTCTAAGGTCCTAATAGACCAGAGGTGTTTCTAGGGTCCTAACAGACCAGAGGTGTTTCTAGGGTCCTAACAGACCAGAGGTGTTTCTAAGGTCCTAATAGACCAGAGGTGTTTCCAGGGTCCTAATAGACCAGAGGTGTTTCTAGGGTCCTTATAAACCAGAGGTGTTTCTAAGGTCCTAACAGACCAGAGGTGTTTCTAGGGTCCTAATAGACCAGAGGTGTTTCTAGGGTCCTAATAGACCAGAGGTGTTTCTAAGGTCCTAACAGACCAGAGGTGTTTCAAGGTCCTAATAGACCAGAGGTGTTTCTAAGGTCCTAATAGACCAGAGGTGTTTCTAGGGTCCTAACAGACCAGAGGTGTTTCTAGGGTCCTAACAGACCAGAGGTGTTTCTAAGGTCCTAATAGACCAGAGGTGTTTCCAGGGTCCTAATAGACCAGAGGTGTTTCCAGGGTCCTAATAGACCAGAGGTTTTTCTAGGGTCCTAATAGACCAGAGGTGTTTCTAAGGCCCTAACAGACCAGAGGTGTTTCTAGTGTCCTAAAAGACCAGAGGTGTTTCTAGGGTCCTAATAGACCAGAGGTGTTTCTAGGGTCCTAATAGACCAGAGGTGTTTCTAAGGTCCTAATAGACCAGAGGTGTTTCTAAGGCCCTAACAGACCAGAGGTGTTTCTAGGGTCCTAATAGGCCAGAGGTGTTTCTAGGGTCCTAATAGACCAGAGGTGTTTCTATGGTCCTAATAGACCAGAGGTGTTTCTAGGGTCCTAATAGACCAGAGGTGTTTCTAGGGTCCTAATGGACCAGAAGTGTTTCTAGGGTCCTAATGGACCAGAGGTGTTTCTAGGGTCCTAATGGACCGGAGGTGTTTCTACGGTCCTAATAGACCAGAGGTGTTTCTAGGATCCAAATAGACCAGAGGTGTTTCTAAGGTCCTAATAGAACAGAGGTGATTCTAAGGTCCTAATAGACCAGAGGTGTTTCTAGGGCCCTAACAGACCAGAGGTGTTTCTAGGGTCCTAATAGACCAGAGGTGTTTCTAGGGCCCTAACAGACCAGAGGTGTTTCTAGGGTCCTAATAGACCAGAGGTGTCTTCATCACCCCCCACAAGTAGTACAGTGTCACCATGCTAGGGTGACAGTATGTTAAAAATAAAAATAAATAAATATAAAAAATTAAAAAAAAAAATTAAAAAAAATGTTTAAAAAATTATAGTTTTTGGTTATAAACTAATTTGGATTTTTTTTTTTACTAAAAAGATAACGGAATAAATTTTGGCCAAGATTTATGATGACATTTTATTTATTTGCAAAGTTTTATAAGAAAAACACTTTTTTTCAAAATTTTTGGACTTTTTAATTTACATAGCAAAAAAATAAAAATCCCAGTGGTGAATAAATACCACCAAAATAAAGCTTTATCTGTCTCCAAAAAATGGTAAACATTTCATATGGGTGCAGTGTTGCATGACCGCGCAATTGTCATTCAAAGTGTGATAGTGCTGAAAGCTGAAAATTGGCCTGGACAGGAAGGGGGTGAAAGACCGAACAGGAACACATAATAGAAGATCATCGTTGAGGTTTACGTATGTTTTAACCACTTCCAGTCCAGACACTTCCCCCCCCCCTTCCAGTCCGGACACTTTCCCCTCCTTCCAGTCCGGACACTTTCACCCCCTTCCAGTCCGGACACTTTCCCCCCCTTCCAGTCCGGACACTTTCCCCCCTTCCAGTCCGGACACTTTCCCTCCCTTCCAGTCCGGACACTTTCCCCCTTCCAGTCCGGACACTTTCCCCCCTTCCAGTCCGGACACTTTCCCCCCCTTCCAGTCCGGACACTTTCACCCCCTTCCAGTCCGGACACTTTCCCTCCCTTCCAGTCCGGACACTTTCCCCCCCCTTCCAGTCCGGACACTTTCACCCCCTTCCAGTCCGGACACTTTCCCCCCCTTCCAGTCCGGACACTTTCCCCCCCTTCCAGTCCGGACACTTTCACCCCCTTCCAGTCCGGACACTTTCCCCCCCTTCCCTCCCAGGCCAATTTTCAGCTTTCAGCGCTATCACACTTTGAATGACAATTGCGCGGTCATGCAACACTGTACCCATATGAATTTTTTACCATTTTTTTGAGACAGATAAAGCTTTATTTTGGTGCTATTTATTCACCGCTGGGATGTTTATTTTTTTTTGCTATGTAAATGAAAAAGTCCAAAACATTTTTTAAAATGTGTTTTTTTTAATAAAATTTTGCAAATAAATAATATTTCATCATAAATCTTGGCCAAAATTTATTCCGTTATTTTTTTAGTAAAAAAAAAAAATCCAAATTTGTTTATAACCAAAATTTATAATTTTTAAAACAAAATTTTTAAATTTTATTTTATTTTTTTATATTATTATTATTATTATTTTTTTTTTTTTTTTTTTTGCATACTGTCACGCTAGCAGTACAGTGTCACCATGGGGACACTGTACTACTTGTGGGGGGTGATGAAGATTTTTTTTTTTTTTTTTACACTGATTGTTTTTACACCCATATAGGATGTAAAAGCAATAATTTCTCCTTCTCTCTGTCTGCATTCTTGCAGTCATTGAGAAGTACTGAGTGAGCTGTGATTGGTCACAGCTTGTCACATGGTACAAGGCTGTTGTGAATAGCCCTGTACCATGTGACCTCTGTGATCATTCACAGATTTCACACAAGGTAAGCAATGATGGCACAAGTGACATCTTGCTTACTACTTTACATGTGATCACTGATTGGCCAATCAGTGATCACATGATCGGGACCTCGTACAGAGGTCCCGTCCGACGATCTGTGTTTCACTGTGTCCGGAGAACCCAGCGGGCACCGGATCGCAGTGCTGCGCGCTCCCAGGGAGTGCGCACAGCTAGAAAAGGCGGGTACCGTTTATGAACGCCAACCCGCCCTGGACTGCCCACCGCCCTGCCATTTATAAACATCAGGCGGACGGCAAGGGGTTAAAGATTTTTTTTTCAAGGTTTCCACTAATAGATGGCACAAATGATCCTTTATAGGCACATTCTATTATTTCTCACTTTGTTCCCGTCCCAGGCGCCTCGAGTCTTTTTTGCCGCATGTGTTTCCACTTTCATCTATCCTGTCCCGGCTTGGCATTCGGTTGGCTTTGGCATTAAAAACAGCACTCATGGCCCCAATCATCGCATCAAGCGTGGGGACACAGAGATGTTTCCAAGTGTCATGTGAGGAGCGGGGGGATCACTGTGCCAGATCTGTAACGCGATCGTTGAACCGGGACTCCAACAACGCGATGACTTCGAAGGAGTGAGCCAACATCTGCTTGGATGGTCTTTGATACATTGTAAATACTCTGGAATCATATTCCACTCCAGCGGGGGGCGCTGTATGCAGCAGATGTGAGTTCCAGGATTTATCCAGATTTGGAGACTTGGGATCATGGAATAATACGTGTTTATGGGAGAAGAATCAGATACTTATTGAAGTGTGCTGGAGGTTTCCATACAATAAAAGGGGGATGGTAATTGGAGGGGTCTCTCCGTTTTTCAAGAACGACCTCTTTTAGAGCCTGGATGCTGGATGGAGAGTGATGCTCAACTTGTCTCTTCAGAATTCCCTTCCCCATAGGTGTTGGATTGGGTTCAGATGAGGAGACAGACTTGGCCACTGGATCACTTTCACCCGGTTCTTCTTCAGAAATGCAACAGTGGCCTTCGATGTGTTCTGGATCATTGTCATGTTGGAAAAGTGCATGACGACCGAGGGCTCGGAGTGATGGGAGCATCTTCTCTTTCAATATAGAGCAGTACATCTGTGAACTCATGACACCATCAATGAAATGTAGCTAACACCAGCAGCACTCATGCAGCCCCACAGAAGGACACCGGCACCACCATGTTTCACAGTAGGCACCATGCATTTTTCTTTGTACTCTTCACCTGTGCAACGCCATACCATTTTGAAGCCATCAGTTCCAAAGGCATTTATCGTGGTCTAATCACTCAAGAGTACAGAGTCCCAGTAGTCATCTTCTTTTTCAGCATGGGTCCTGGCAAATTCTAGGTGGGCTTTTTTGTGCATGGGCTTTAGGAGAGGCTTCCTTCGTGGATAACACCCATGCATGCCATTCCTCTGCAGTGTACGCTGTATTGTGTCACGGGAAACAATCACCCCAGTTCGGATCTCTACTTCTGTAGCTAACTGCAGTGAACTTGCATGGCGATTTTCTTCAACCCTTATCAGGAGATGCTCCTGTTGAGGTGTTAACCTCTGTGGACAACCTGGACGTCTCTGTGAGATGGTTGCAGTTCCATCTTTGTTACATTTTTGTTTCACTTTTGCTCCAGTATTCTGACTGAGAAGTAAAGCTTTGCTGATCTTCTTGTAGCCTTCACCTTTCTTGTGTCAAGAAATGATTTTCTTTCTCAGGCCCTGTGACATTTCTCTTCCATGTGGTGCCATTGCTGACAGCATGAAATGGGAGGAGTTTTCTTTAAGTAACGCCCTTTTATAGTCACCTGTCTGCTGGACGCCTGTTTAATGAATAATTAGACTCACCTGGAGTTGAATTCTTGTCCATTCGGATTTTGTTGTCTAAAATGTAGCTTTGCTCCTGAGACTTTCATTGGGGTGTATTCATTTTTGCAACATGCTCCTGGATGGATTTGTTGGTAAAAATAAATTTTTTTGTGTGCAAATTACCGTAATCTGCAATTAATGGCCGGCATTTGTGGGAGGATTTTGTAGTGTAGTGTCCTATAGAAAATGTGGATTCTGAAAGGAAAGGAAAGGTTTTCTGACATATCTGTTGGGGGAACTCATTTATGCTGAGCTATCTATCTATCTATCTATCTATCTATCTATCTATCTATCTATCTATCTATCTATTATCTATCTATCTATCTATCTATCTATCTATCTATTATCTATCTATCTATCTATTATCTATCTATTATCTATCTATCTATCTATTATCTATCTATCTATCTATTATCTATCTATCTATCTATTATCTATTATCTATCTATAATCTATCTATTATCTATCTATAATCTATCTATTATCTATCTATCTATCTATCTATCTATCTATCTATTATCTATTATCTATCTATCTATCTATCTATTATCTATCTATTATCTATCTATCTATCTATTATCTATCTATCTATCTATTATCTATCTATCATCTATCTATCTATCTATCTATCTATCATCTATCTATCTATCTATTATCTATCTATAATCTATCTATTATCTATCTATCTATCTATCTATCTATCTATCTATTATCTATCTATTATCTATCTATCTATCTATTATCTATCTATCTATCTATTATCTATCTATCATCTATCTATCTATCTATCTATCTATCTATCATCTATCTATCTATCTATTATCTATCTATTATCTATCTATCTATCTATCTATCTATCTATCTATCTATCTATCTATCTATCTATCTATCTATCATCTATCTATCTATCTATCTATCTATCTATCTATCTATCTATCTATCTATCTATCTATCTATCTATCTATTATCTATCTATCTATCATCTATCTATCTATCTATCTATCTATCTATCTATCTATTATCTATCTATCTATCTATCTATCTATTTATCATCTATCTATCTATCTATCTATCTATCTATCATCTATCTATTATCTATCTATCTAAAGAATAATAATAATGATAATAATTATTATAATCATCATTATTATAATTGTTATTAATACAAAAAATAATATACATAAAGCAGTAAAATTATTAATAATAATCATAACATATAAAAATAATGGTACACATAATATTATTAAAAAAGAAAATTAATCATGATAATAATTTTATATATATTTTAGCCAGACCTTTAAAAAATCACTCCCTCTGCATATTTATTTGCATGCAAGGCATGATGGGTATTCAGCATTACAGATGTCATTCTGCTTTAAGCTAAATGAGGCTTTGTATTGATCTTAGATGCAAAGTACATTTTTCTGAATGTGTCCCAGGTGCTTCCTGCCTTTACCTACATACAGACGGACCATTCACTGTGCAGGTCACAGATCTGACTAGTGACCCCCGCCATTAGTTCCGACTTATTATACAGAGGAGCGATGGGGAGAGAGCGCAGTATACAGGCTGATGTGACTTCAACAATGAAGTTCTCACCTGTGACAGCATCCATAAACAAGCCGGGAAAACTCTCACCTGCTTGTAGGTGCCGCTCCCTCGTTGGATGGACGAGTGCGGAGTTGCTCCCTCGTTGGATGGACGAGCGCGGAGTTGCTCCCTCGTTGGATAGACAAGCACGGAGTTGCTCCCTCGTTGGATGGACGAGTGCGGAGTCGCTCCCTCGTTGGATGGACGAATACGGAGTCGCTCCCTCGTTGGATGGACGAACACGGAGTCGCTCCCTCATTGGATGGACGAGCGCGGAGTCACTCCCTCGTTGGATGGATGAGCGCGGAGTTGCTCCCTCGTTGGATGGATGAGTGCGGAGTTGCTCCCCTCGTTGGATGGATGAGCGCGGAGTTGCTTCCTCGCCGATGAAAATGACGCAGGATGCAAGGCACAAGGAAAAGAATAATGACACGCCGTAAAATGTAAATTAAGATTTTGGAATGAAATCCTCATTCGCAGAGCGTTGCGTAGATATTGATCTCTCATGTATATAATCAATTACACCGATTATAAATGTCACCAACATGGTAATAACATTTACACAGTGCCTTGAAAAAGTCTTCACACCCCCTGAAATGTCCCCCATGTTGTTATGTTACAATGTATCCCCTCCTCCCCTGAAATGTCCCCCATGTTGTCATGTTACAATGTATTCCCCCCTGAAATGTCCCCCATGTTGTCATGTTACAATGTATTCCCCCCTGAAATGTCCCCCATGTTGTCATGTTACAATGTATCCCCCCCATGTGTTGTCATGTTACAATGTATTTATTGGGATTGGATGTGATAGACCGGCACAAAGTGGCACATAATTGTGAAATGGAAGGAAAATGAGAAATGGTTTCCAACATTTTGTTTTGAATAAATCTGTGAAAAGTGTGGCGGCATTTGTATTCAGCCCCCCGGAGTCAATACTTTGTAGGACCCCCTTTGGCTGCAATTCCAGCTGCAAGTCTTTTTGGGGATGTCTCTTTGCACATCTAGAGAGGGACATTTCTGCCCGTTCTTCTTTGCAGAATCCCTCAAGCTCTGTCAGATTGGATGGAGAGCGTCTGGGAACAGCAGTTTTCAGGTCTGGCCACAGATCCTCCATTGGATTTCGGTCTGGACTGTGATTGGGCCATTCTAACACATGAAGATGCTTTGATCTGAACCCTTCCATTGTAGGTCTGGCTGGATGTTTTGGGTCGTTGTTCTGCTGGAAGGGGAACCTCCCCCCGGTCTCAGGTCTTTTGCAGACTCTAACAGGTTTTCTTCTAAGATTGCCCTGTATTTGGCTCCATCCATCTTCCCATCAACTCTGACCAGCTTCCCTGTCCCTGCTGAAGAAACTCATCCCCACCACATGATGCTGCCACCACCATGTTTCACAGTAGGGATGGTGTGTTCAGGGTGATGTGCAGTGTTAGTTTCCCGCCACACATAGCGTTTTGCTTTTAGGCCAATAAGTTCCATTTTGGTCTCCTCTGACCAGAGCCCCTTCTTCCACATGTTTGCTGTGTCCCCCACATGGCTTCTCACAAACTGCAAACGGGACTTCTGATGGCTTTCTTCCAACAATGGCTTTCTTCTTGTCACTCTTCCATAAAGGCCAGATTTGTGGAGTGCATGACTAATAGTTGTCCTGTGGACAGGTTCTCCCACCTGAGCTGTGGATCTCTGCAGCTCCTCCAGAGTTCCCATGGGCCTCTTGGCTGCTTCTCTGATGAATGCTCTCCTTGTCCGGCCGGTCAGTTTAGGTGGACTGCCATGTCTTGGTAGGTTTGCAGTTGTGCCATTTTCGGATGATGGATTGAACAGTGCTCCGTGAGATGGTCAAAGCTTAGTATAGTTTTTTTATAATATAACCCTACTTTAAACTTCTCCACAACTTTATCTCTGACCAGTCTGGTGTGTACCTTGGTCTTCATGATGGCTGTTTGTTCACTAATGTTCTCTAACAAACCTCTGAGGGCTTCACAGAACAGCTGGATTTATACTGAGATCACATGACACACAGGGGGACTCTATTTACTAATTAGGTGACTTCTGAAGGCAATTGGTTCCACTAGATTTTAGTTACGGTATCAGAGTAAAGGGGGCTGAATACAAATGCCGCCACACTTTAAACATATTTATTTGTTAAACATTTTGAAAACCATTTCTCCTTTCACATCACAATTATGTGCCACTTTGTGTTGGTCTATCACATAAAAAAATGACAAAATGTGGAAAATTTCAAGGGGGTATGAATACTTTTTCAAGGCACTGTGTGTGTGTATATATAATAGTGTAATATAATATAAATTATAGTATTTTCATATTATATATTAATGACACAATAATAAATAGTATATATATATTTTCTCATATTATCTTATAAAATTATTATTATGTGTGTGTATATATAGAGAGGGGAGAGAGGGGAGAGGGAAGAGAGAGGGAAGAGGGAGAGAGGGGAGAGGGAAGAGGAAGAGAGGGGGGAGGGAAGAGGGAAGAGGGAGGGAAGAGGGAGAGAGGGGAGAGGGAAGAGAGAGGGAAGAGAGAGAGAGAGGGGAGAGGGAGAGAGAGGGAGAGAGGGGAGAGGGAAGAGAGAGGGAAGAGGGAGAGATGGGAGAGGGAAAAGAGAAGGAAGAGGGAGAGAGGGGAGAGGGAAGAGGGAGAGAGGGGAGAGGGAAGAGGGAGAGAGGGGAGAGGGAAGAGGGAGAGAGGGGAGAGGGAAGAGGGAGAGAGGGGAGAGGGAAGAGAGAGGGAAGAGGGAGAGAGGAGAGGGAAGAGGGAGAGAGGGGAGGGAAGAGGGAGAGAGGGGAGAGAGGGGGGGGGAGAGGGAAGAAAGAGGGAGAGAGGAGAGAGAAGAGAGAGAGAGAGAGGGGGGAGA